TGAGGAACTGTTGTACTTTAGGAAACCATGTCTTCACCTTCTGCACAGGAGGGTAACCCACAAGGCAGCTAAGCACTCTGGAGTGGACCCACTCTGGGTCACTCCATGTGAAGACCAGTGTATACACCAGAATCTTCTGCTCCCAGATACCAGCAGAGCTGGGTCAGGTCCAAGTGACAGTACATGGAATGGACTGTGGCTGTATGGCAAGTCAAGGAGTCCGAAAGTTCTGTCTCACGTGGTTCCAGGGAAAGCCTTTCCACCCCTTCTAGATGTCCCTGGCTTGTGGTCCCAACTCTAACTGTGCCTTGTACACAGATGGCCTTCTCTGTGGGTAGACATCCAGAGCCTCTGGTTCTGAGGATGCCAGCCATGCTAGATTTGGGACTTAGCCTCATCCTATGTGACTTCATTTCACTGTGATCAACATCTATTTCCAAATTGGGCCACATTCATGATTCTTGAAATCAGAACTTAAAAACTCTGATCTTAAACTGATGCAGTTCAGCCCACAGTAGTGTGTATAGTCTGGTCTTGTGTTCTTTGTAGGTATAATACTTGCCCTGCTCATTGGAGCTGGGGATCCTGAGAACTGGGAAGGAATGAAGTAATATCATCCCCTATCTTCTACCCCAAACCAATGAGCCCTGCCCAGGCTGTACTGTGCCTGGAGCAGTGAAAACAAGGCCCCAGTGAAGAGTAAGAGAGGAGATTCTACAGCTGCTGTCCAGAAGTCTGGGCAGAAGGGGCTGCACAGCTCAGTATGAATTTTGTCAGAGCCTCAGGGTATGAGTGGCTGTATAGACTATTAACATGGTAAAACAGGCCTCATGACTTTTCTATCACGGGGAGGTCATCTTGGTGTCCTTCCAGGCTTGCCCTCATTTCCTGGTGAGATCAAGCAATTCCATCTCTTTACAAGAAATCTTTGTGAAATGGGATCTGAGCTGATGCAGGGAGACTGCAGGAAGATGAGAGGCCAGGATCCCGGCAGGGAGGTGCCAGAGTGACCTTCCTTAAAGGCAAAATCCAATTTGGAGTTTTCAATCAGCGTAGCTGGTACAGTTTCCCGCTCCCGAGAACTGAGGGGGGCTGGGGCCCATGCAGGTGGCCCTGACTTCAGGATCCACTCCCAGGCTGGTTTTAGAGATTTACTTTGCTCATGCCAATCCCTCTCCACTGGAGGCCCCTGACCAGAGTGCCTTGATGCCTCACGGTCTCAGAGGTAAGTCTGTGTGGAACCCACTTGTGAGTCTCCCCAGAAACAGTTCCCATCCCACATCTTCGACGGGGCTCTACAAAGCCCTGTGAAGAGCAAGGAACAGGTGTGTCCTTCAGGACTGGTGGACATGTACCTCCTAGAACTCCTCCTGTGGCCCTTGGACACGCTCAAAAAGCAAGGTGTGATTGTTAGTAGTGATTGTCAACTTAGGAGGATGTTGAGTTACCTAGGAGATGAAGCTCTGGGCTTGTCTGTGAAAGAGTTTCTCGGTCAGGTTAACTGAGATGGGAGGCTCACCCTGAATGGGTGGCAACTTTTCGTGGGCTGGGGTCCCGGGCTGAACAAAAAGGAGAAAGTGAGCTGAGCACCACATTCATCTCTCTCTGCCTCCTGACTGTGCCTGCAGAGTGACCAGCCACTCATGCTCCTGCTGCCTTGATGGGCCAGACCCTCAATCTGTCTTTCCATCCTTGAGTTGCTTTTGTGAGGAATTTTGGCCCAGCAATGAGAAAAATAATTAATATACAAGACTATTCTGAGAAAAGTAAAATGTGTAGTGTGTCCTTTGAGGTCAGATGCTAGGAAGGATGGTGGGAGCCAGGTGTGGACCAGCAGAGCACCAGGAATCTACTTTGATTCATCACAGTGGAGCCTACCTAGCCTGGGCCCTGCATCTACCGCCTTCACTGAACAGCGAGAGAGAGGCCTTGTCTGGGCTGTTTTGTACTTTTTTTTTTTTTTTTTTTTTTTTTGTTTTTT